ACATCTGACCTGTGACACAATAGCACTCGTTGCAATGCGGTATAGTGATTAACGTGTCGGGATTATACGCTACACTGTCATGGTTCGAGTTCAGTTAGGGGCGCTGACGAAACCTATGTGAAGTCAAACTGCAGTCCACCCTGGATAAGAATACCTTTTAATAAGATAGGCTATATGAAATTAAATGGAAACCTAGGGTCTACTCATATAAATGTCGGAAAATTCAACTACCAGTTCTTCCACACCTTAAACGAAATAGGATAAATCCTCCTTACACAACTATCTTTTGAGTTGCTGTCTATGCTAGCTCTGGAAACGTGGTTTACGAGGTTATCAAGGTAATCCGAAACTTCGCAAGCTGACGCGCCTTATTTAAGGAAGTTTCGAACATTTACATGCTAGCTTTTTTTTCATCCATATGTGAGGATTGTGCTTTGCTAAATTTGGTCAGAATAAATGTCAATCGACCTAAATTGAAACCATCTAGTATGCTTTGGTAACGGTAGTAATGTAGAAGCGCCCTAAATAAAACGATGAGCGGTTTTAAAAGGAAGAACCTTAGGTAATGTGAAATGAGGAATAACTATTAAAGGTGGCATGTCATGGCTAAGAGAAGAACTTTTTCCACAATGACTTATACAAAAATGGGAGGTTTATCACCCGTCCTTTAGAAGATCTGCCCGAGAGAAGTAGAGCAATCCAGGGACGTAGGACCATTTAAGGCTCCAAAAAGATATGTACATATTTATACATTTTCGGAAATATGAAAAGAAGGAACTGGTTTAACAAGCTACCGTCCTGCACTGTCGCGGTTTGACTCCCGCTGAGGGTGCTGATAAGACCAATGCGAGGTCGAAATTGCAGTCCACCCTGGATGAGAACAACCTTTTGGAAAGCAAGGCTATGTAAAATTAAATGGAAACGTCAACTCAACACATATCATTGTGGGAAAATTTTACTACCAGTCCTTTATCACCTTAGACGAAATAGGGTGAATACATCTCATTACACTGATTTTCTGGTAGTCTCGAAACCCTACTCTAATATGGATTAACATAATTATTGGCTTTGCAAAACGAATAAGAGATTATCTTTGTCTACTTACCTGATCAACAGATCCGAAACGCCAAAACAAATGTTTATGAAGCATGCCATGAGTTTTATTATGTAGTTGCTGCAATTGTTCAACCCCCTTTGGATCCATCGGATGCTGAGCTAGCCATTCACGATGTAACTAAATAAAAACAACCCTCATGTTTTTAAAAATATAAAAACTAAGATAGTAAAAACTATATTCTCAGATGAAGTAGAAACAAGAGGAAATAACAAGGAGTAAAGGATTATAAATAGTATCCGAGGGATGTTTTAGAGATTCATAGTTTTGGAATCGCCACTTTGCACCTCTTGTTACAATCTGATTGCCAAAATATAATAAAAGGTGCTGACTAAAGAGAGACTGAGGGATTCCGCCAGCCACCCGATAGGGTACATTCCCCACAGCCTAGTTGGAGGTGGCGGTCGTAAGACGTATAGCCTAGTCGGAATATGGATGAATCAATATAGTATTTTTAATGAGGACACATTAAATATACCCTAAAATACACTTTGATTCTTCGGATATACTGATATCTTTCATTTGCATTTTTAGATAATCTTCTGACGGGTTCTACATATCCGAACAGTTCAGAATAAAGCGACCATAAAAACTTGCCGAATATAGACAAATCAGAAGTTGAGATAAGGCGGGAGTGGGATAAGGAGGTAAGGGGTATGTAATGTGCCAGAACAGATAGAGGAGCGATAGCACACCCGTTTGACAGAAGGTTGGTCAAGGGATTAACTTTACCTGTCTCTTTGACGAGTTGTAATTTGGTGCTGAGAATGGCAAAACCCACTGGCGACAAGGTGTGTCCAACTAATTCGCCCTGATAACAAGACCAAGTTGTGAAAACGAGGTCAGACCACTTCTATACTGAGCTTATCATCGAACCTATCAAGCCGTAAATACTCTCAACAATAAAAAGTAGACATTCATCCTATGCAAGGGTTTACGCAGAAAGGACTCCTGACTAGGAAGCATCTCCATTGGCCTGATTACTTTGCTGGCTCTTGCTTTGGCGTCAA